TACCTGGAGACACTACTCTCGATCTGGATGACCTCCAACATCGAGCAGCTCCGACAACGTCGCCACGGTACAGGACCTCATCTTCACCGCAGTCGCCTAGGCGCGGCTTGATGGTATGGACCGGACGTACCTGGAATGTAAAGACCAATATTTTCTTCGTGGACCCCGGACTGAAGGTGAGCGCTGGCTGTTACATTGGGCAACTCGTGAAGAATATCCCCCACACATGTGGACGCCCGTACCTTTTTGGAAACTTTGTACCGCTACAGCATTGAGTAACACCACATGGAATCAATGGGCGTTGGAAAACTCTTGCCTACTTGGAATGGAAGGAAACTGAGTACCTAAAGAAGGTGGAATATCTAAGTGGGTCACCTGGCCTGAATCCCCTCAATTACCCGGTCCGGGCGGAGTTCAATAGGGTGGTCTACGGTGGCGGAGAAGTCGACTATCTCCCTGATCTCAGGCACCACACGCGGTCGCGTGCCAGAATCTCTAGGTTGCGCTCGTCCAGAAGGCTGTGGCGCAGTGTCATGATAGTATTTGCTATGCTCTTCAATATAGTGGTAAAAATGTCAGATAAGAATCTAATATAGTGCAGCTTAGAGCGCCTCGAAAGGAAATGAAGAAAAGTGAGTTTTTTCGCCCCCCCCCCCCCCTGTATTGCAATCCCCAGATCCATGATGCTTGTCTGGTGGCCAACATTCGCTCATTTTCCGGGAATGTCAATGAATTAATCTTCCGAAATCGTCATGCTAGCTCTCGAGTTGTGACGTCAACAGAGACCTGCTTGTCTGACATTATCAGTACCGAGTTACTACTTGGGGATCTGTGCGCCCATTACGAAGTCCTCTGATGTGACAGGCAAGCGCCCATGAAAAGCGTGGTGACGGAGTCGCTATCATTGCCAAAAGATTTTTTCCTTCGAGTAGTATTCAAGGAGTCGTTTGCAGATGCATATGAAATCGTGCGTCGACGTTGATATAGCGTCATCTAGTGTTAGAGTGGTCCTGGTTTATAAGTCACCGTCTTTGTCCCATCGACTGGTATGGATCATTTTAGAGCGTTGACACAACTAGTGGAAAATATGAGTTGTTTTTAGCTGTTATTCATCATACCATAGAATGATTTGTTCCACTCAAGCCTCAGAAGACTATGGGAGTGCGGCTTCTACTGCATGTGATCAGATATAACTGCAAAAAGAATTCATCTTGGGCTAAGACTGTGTCGAGTGGTAACCAAGCAAACTGCAGACAACAAATCAAGAGCTACTTTAGAGAAAAGGTTGAGCAAGTCCTATGGTCATTTTGTATTGAAGGTTATCTTTCCCAGAGATAAAAACGCTTTTCATGGGCTATTCAATCTTAGGCTAGAGGAAAGTGAGGGTCTAGGGGTTCATCTCAGGGAGGATGGTAATGCAGTATGCAAAGATAGGGACAAAGCTGAACTTATAGCTAGCGTCTTCGCAAAATCCTTTCAGGGGATAATTCTATGGAACTGGTTCGACAAGGAAGGAATATAATATATAAGCTGCTGATTTGATGGCCCAAATCCCTTCGGATACACCTGATCATAGTCCACTGGTATTCAATAAATGTACCGCACATAGACTGTGGGCCACTGTGGGCCACTTTCTTCCTGTTCAACTTGAGCCTTATGGGAGCTGAAATGCCATCCAGGTGGCGCGTTCCATTCGTAACCCCAACTCCTACGAAGCCTTCGTATCCTGCCCGCACAACTTCTGGCCGGTCAGCATAACTTCCATATTTCAGGTAACTTCCATATTTAAGGCTGTTTGAAAAAGTTTTGAAAAGGAGGCTCACGACATATTTGGAGCAAGTGAAACAATTTCTGAAAACCAACACGGCTTTCAGATAGGGAAATCAACTGTAACGGACATGCTGCAGGCTCTTAATGATTGAACGTACCTTGATAATGACTCACAGCGGACATTCATTTGGACTTCGCGGGAACGTTTGACAGACTCACTCTAAGCTTATAACTGAACTCAAGATAGTTGGAGTTCATCCCAGAATGGGTAAATGGATCGAGTCTTTCCTTAGATCGAGTCTTTTCTTACTGATATTTTATCTTGTGCGCGTTGATGGTGAGTTTTCCGAAGCTAGGTCGGTGCTCAGTGGGGTCTATACTGCCGACCTGAAACACTTTCGAAAAGCAGGCGGGGCTTCTTCTGAAGTGGGCGGAGCCTCTCACATTGGGCGTGGCTTCACCAGCAATCCGAAAATGAAAAATTCTGAAAAAATATCAAATTTTGCAAAAAGCCGCAAAGAGGGCGTGGCCAAGGTGCGGAGCCGAAAGTGTCAGTGCATAAATACGCTTCTAAGAGTACCCTCGTTGTGTGAAGGTTGGAGTGAAAACAACGACGCTGAAAAAATTCATAAAAAGTCCAAATTTGCAAGAAAAAAAATGGGCGGAGTTGCCAGATGCCGATGTACAGAACGTTTCATTTAGTGTGTATCTGCAAAATGATAAAAGTGCAAAAAAAAGTCACAAAAGCAAAAGTTTTAAAATAAAGTTTGAACGCCACGACCACGCTGGGCGTGGCTATAGGGGCGGTGCTTGCAGTACTGTCTAGTAAGGCATGGGCAACAACTCTCGGATGTTCTGAAAATTCGGGAATTTGGCTTGAAAAATCGCGAATTTGGTTAGAAGAGTCGTGAATTTGAAGTTTCCAAATACTTTCTCATGAATACAGATCATTAATATGATAAGATCATACGGAGAGCAGCATAATACAAGTGAAGAAAGAACATTCGCGCTGTTTGAAGCGAAAAAGCGCCCTCTGCATGATTGCACCAGATGCTCCAGGAACTGGTGCCGTTGAATTCTTGCGATGCTTCAGCTTCTGACATGAAGTATTAAGTCGAGAGAAATGGCTATTCTAGGAGCCACCTTCTTACGCTTGACCAAGGTGCTACAACCGCAGAAACTGCTTGAAAAAAATGTAAAAGAAATGTTAGATGTGGAAGGTCCAGCAGTCCTTCCCCACTACAGCTGAAACTTGGTCCAAGCAATCCAGTGCTGGGAATCGCTAACCTGTCAATATGCATGGGAGCACTGGCCCTGTTCAGTTCGATAAAGAGCTACTGCATGAAGAACATATGCACGAAATTTTTTTGAGCCTTTTTATCGCGTAACGGTGAAATTCTCTGGTAATGCGGGAGCATATAGGGAAGTATCCCCATTGCTTGACGTTCGAAGAGGTTATCACTAGAATGCTGAGTTATGGGCAAAAGTCGAACTTTAGGCGGGAGTCGAACCCGCATCTCACGCTTTCTGGGCGAGTGCGCTATCGGCTACGCCACCAGGGCCGCTCTTACCCTCTCAGCTTGACAGCTTATGTGCCGTAGCCTTGAACCGTTAAACTGAGAGGGTAAGAGCGGCCCTGGTGGCGTAACGGATAGCGCATTGGCCCAAAAAGCGTGAGGTGCGGGTTCAACTCCCGCCTGGGGTTCCACTTTTGCCCATAACTCAGCACTCTTGCGCGAACTGCGGCGTAAAACAGCAGTTATCATCATAAAACAACTTGAAAATTTGAAGAGACTGATCAAAGGCGGAGACTTCATTCTCATCACTTCATAATGTGTACGCGATGTAAGTAAACCAAAACATATATTCAGTTGTCATTCTCCATTTAAAACTCAAAAGGCCTAGTCGCTCCTCAACGAAATCAACGGAGCACCGGGAGCGGTTTACACGTGGACTAAGTTCGAAATGTTCTAAGGAACACTTCTACTTAGGCATACTTTTCACAAGAGTTCCTGCACTTTTGACAGCTCTATTAAACATAGGTGCCGAAATGGTTCATTTCCCTTGACTCGATGTGCCGTGGTTTCCCCGCTCGAAACCGTACGGGGTTAGAGTAGAGGGCCGTGGGAAAGTCTATTAGAGTAGAAGGCCGTGGGAAAGTCTAATTTGTCCATGCTCCGCCCAAAATGCAACTTGCGGCGCAGACCCCCTTTATGCTAACAGACGTCCGCGCGGCGCGTGTCGCGTGCCCTCCTGGCGCTTGCCAGTTCCTGTAATTGCGCTTCGAAATACAATTAGAACGCAATTTTCTGGTGCGAATAACATTTTAGGTGCTGCAAAATAAGAACCGAAGATGATGACGAGGACCAGAACTCACGAATAACTGTGCTGCTCCTGTAATAATCCTCTGAGGCCGCGTATTCCCACAAAACATGAAAATGAAAACGGCCCAAGCGTCTCATTCATTAGTTCAAAGTATTTGTATGGCTTTGGAGCCGGAACCGCGCCGAATCGCAGAGATTTACACGCGATTTCAATTAATTTGCATTCCCTTATTTTTTCCACTTTCGTTTTGTTTACAACTACATTCGTTGTTCTTCACTTCTAGCCTTTGTCATCTTCATCCCCTTCTATTTGGACTTTGCAGCATGAACAACACCACAAATGTTATCCGCATCAGGAAATTGCGTTTTATTTGTATTAAACTAACACATGGAACGCTTAGGCCGTTTCTATTTTCAGTTTTGTGGGGATGCGCGGCCTCCGAGGGATATCGCAGAAGCAGCACAGTTGCGCTTGAGTTCAGATCCTCGCCATCATCTTCGCTTTTTTTTTGCAGCACCTAAAAAGTTATTCGCTCCAGAAGGTTGCGTTCTAATTGTATTTCGAAGCGCGATTACAGGAACTGGCAAAGTGCCAAAACGGCCGTACGCGAAACGCAGTTTCGGGCGGGGAAACCACGACACATCGACAGCTGGGGGCTGATAGTCACATACACCCATATGTATGTGAGCGTACCATGAGTCTTTAACAAAAACCCAAACTGTTATGAAAACTAAGCATGTTTCCGATGGGACGCCGATTCTTATTCGAAATATGTAAGAAAGAGAGGAGAAAGTCAATGTCCTCCGAAAAAAAATTAATCTAGAAGAAAGGATTTACTTGAGGGGTAACGTGATATATCCGCACATTTCCATCTGATTTTGATTCGATGTGTGATTAGTGCAAGCTTAACATCTTATTCGAACGTCAACACTTCCTACTTTTCGTTTCTCCCTTTCACTTGGAGAATCGCTGAGTTGAGCTCGATATGATCTCCGTGCGCGAGAAGAACCCCTCACATCACGTGCAAATACTCCGTGGAACAAGTCCTCTTCGGGTGTTGGTGGGCTGAATATGGCTCATAAAAATCGATACGCCAATAAATAGTGTATGTTAGAATTTTTCACCTCATGAAAAATACAGAAACCACTTCACAGAAAGTTCTTACCGATTACATGTTTCCGTACTAGTGGCTTCTTCCCACAGAAAAGTAGGCGAGGGCGCAATGTTTCGCTCGGCATTTGTTAAGAATTCATAGTCATGCGCCATTGAAGCAATAGGTTGAAGCTGTTTCAAAAACAATTCGATCTGAGGATTTGTTGAATAAGTGTAAATGGACATACTTGATTTGTTTGCATAATGTCCAGCTTATGCTTCAACTCCAAAACTTCGTTGAAACGCCTAGTCTCCAGTTTCAAATGTTTGCAACGCATACGTTTCAGTTCGAGCTCAAGCTTAAACAAAGATAATTTAGACGAACAACCGACCAATCACAATAACCGTTCTATAATACTGCATCCTACTATACATAATGAGCCTCGTCTATCTGTCTGTTTTGTTGATTAGCTAGTCTCAAAGTTCGGCATCTCTCAGTGTCTCAGCCTTCGGCGTCTCAGGTACAGGTAAAATTATTAGGAGCCGGGTGTGAGAAAGTTAGAGCATGGACCAAGGGAGCCGGATGTGAGAAAGGTAGAGCATGGACCAAGGGAGCCGGGTGTGAGAAAGGTAGAGTGGACCAAGATTTACAGAGCATAGGTGACCTATGCAAAGCACACCTGAAATGAGAAGGGCGTACCCTGAGATTGGTGACGCTTGCTTCAGGATTGCACAAGTCGGTGTCGAGATAGTTCAGAGGTGGGTACGACACCTACTTCTCGCTTTGATGCCATCGATCGCCGATTTTGTGCCCACATTCCTCTCATAGAATGCGCTATTTACCCACATATGATGGCTGTCAAGCGCTATCATGCTGCCAGGCTGTCAAGATAGTGATTAGGAAATTCGATTATTCCTAGAGACAAACTTTTGATTAAAACACGGTTTTGACGTTCCTGGGTTTGTGTATTGGGTTGTGCTCACGGCTCACTGTGAATGCTTTTCCGTCATATACTCGAAACCCTTCACGACCCTGACCGCTTTTGTCCGGTCCCTGGAATGCACAGAAAGACTCCTGAATGTTTTTTTTTGTTCTGCACCGCCCACCTCGGCATACGACCCGCTAACTGTGGGTGCTTGTCCCTCATCTACTCGGAACACTTCATGACCCTGACCACTTTTGTCCGGTCCCTGGAATGCAAAAAAAACGACCCCTGAATGTTTTTTGTTTTGCACCGACTACCTCCGCAGACGACCCGCTCACCGTGGGTGCTTGTCCTTCATCTACTATGCTCCACGTTATCCACTAGGCCATCCGATTATTGGTGATAGATACCGCTCCGATTGTTGAAGAAACCATTCCAGGGAGCCGTCCTCACTTCCACAGGTGTTACAAGTAAGACCACATTTGTGAATATTTTTTCCACCTCCCTTCCAATAGTCCCTTTATAAAGACCCTCCACTCAGCAACTGATCAGAGTTGCAAGTGATTTACAGCGCATAGAGGCTCAAAATCAGGCAGTTTCCAAAGGTTTCCTTTTCACTCCTTTTTTGGTAGCCAGAGGCGCGTGGGAAAAATGAACGTCAGTTTAGTACTCCATGCACGTGTCCCTACATCACGCAAAAAACTGTTTTCAAAAGGCGCTTCACGTTCTAAACGACCTCCCTGTTTAGTCTCTTTTCGAGGACCTGTTCTCACTGAAACTTTGATAACTACTTCCATTATCACCATTATCACTATTTAACTTTCATGTGCTTAAAAATGAGCAGAAACGGCGAAACTGGGCATTTTTGGAATAATCTCCTTTTCTCATATGATTGAAACGCTGAAGGCGCAGGGGTTCATTTGTTGAGTATACAGTGCGTAACAAAAGTATGTGGACACCTCGAAATTTGTCCTGCAAAATTGCCTTTGAATTTTGTGATATGAGACCTCTATTGTTGAATTTCTCATAAGCAAAAACATAGGAACACATTAGTTCTGACTACTTTGTGAACTACCGTACAATTATTTATGGTTTTGAAAACGTTTCTTAATAACAAAAGTATGTGGACACTCAGCAAAAAACAAGTGTATCGTGGGAAACAGAAGTTGGTGTTTCCTCCACCGTTCATTATTACTTCGAACATTCTGTCTAGCATGCTGTGGACAAGATTTGTCATGGTGTCTTCCTCGATTTCCTCCCATGGTGCGACTGCCGCCTCCTTCAAGTCTCGCACGCTGTCACTGACGACTGTTCATGTAGATTCGTCAAACCATGGTCCCCCACAGGATTTCGGTTGTGTTGCAGTCAGGAGAACACGCCGGCCAATCAATCACTTTGATACCATTGCGTTGGAGCCATTTTCTAGTAGAATTTGAAACATGCAGGTGTTCTCCTGCTGCTTCACATGTGTCCTGCGTAGTGGCCCGCTCAGAAAAGGCAAGAGGTTAGACAGCACTCCTTGGTATTTCTGACTGTTCATACAGCACGATGGGAAGGCAAGCTCCAACACAACTCAACTACAACTCTGCTTCCAAAACCACCCCGTACCATCAAAGAGGCGCCTATGAATATTCGTCTCGAGAACATCAACGGATCGCTACAAAGTTACTTCCAGTAATGCTGGTATCCATCTGAATTGTTGAGATTGAATTTTTCCTACCAGTGCAGATGACCTAAGAAGGAAATGCGCATAAGACGTTGCCTTTCTGATTTTACAATTATCTCAAGAAACTGCACCTTCTCCCACGACGTCGCCACGAGTGCGCGCACAAAGTTCAGTCTTGCCAGCTAGTGCTTGGCAGTCAGACAGGGACTTTCTTCATGGTCTCTCGAGTGATGTGCTCATTTGATCGAATAGAGCGTCACATTGTCATTTTTGAGATCGGTAGATTCATTGCGGCATGGATCTGTGCCAGAGGAAGCGGGAATTCTTCTGATGTCTTCTGCCTACAAAGACCGTGGGTGCCTGGAAACAGGTACTGAGTGGTGGGTATCTGGATTCTGGAGGTATATACCAATGCACGTCGCCGGAAGTCCAAACTGTCTAGCAGTTTCTCTCTTCGAGTGTCCTGCAGCACTGAAAGCTCGAATCCGAGCTTGTTCGTCTTCGCAGAAAGGACTACCACGACGAGGCATGTGTACAGTTTAATGGGAACTAGAAACCATTAAAATGGATTGCAGATCTGGAGCCAAACTTTGGTCTCCCTCAGGTGTCCACAAACTTTTGTTATCAAGAAACTTTTCCAGAACAACAAATAATTGTGCAGTAGCTCACAAAGTGCTCAGAAGTAGTGTACGCTTGTGTTTTCGCATATGAAAAATTCAACAGTAAAGGTCTCATATCGCAACATTCAGAGGCAATTTTGCAGGACAAAAATTCGAGGTGTCCACATACTTTTGTTACGCACTGTATAGTCAAGGCACCTCAAGAAGATACAAAAAGGTCAAAACGATTCAGAGCTTCTGATTTCGACCCAACAGACAAGCATCACACCGGACGCCTTATTGAATTCGAATGGAAGCTTACTGAATCAGCTTATTCAGAGAGATTCAGGCCATAAAATGAAGAAGCGGTAGAGGTCACGGAAGGTTTCCATGTTTTGAGGGAACACCACTATCTTAATTAGATAGGAGACAACTTGGTGCATGGTCCCTGCAAACAGCCACTCCCCAAGAGGGCGCCCCATGCGGTGTGCATTCAGAAAGTTGAAAGTCCCATTTCTGAATTTCTTGCATCAACTTCGAGCCCTCCCAAGAGACATCGTTCCGTTTTCGTACTCATCATGATTCTGACCGCTTCTACAACTTGAACGCATAGATAATGTGCAGAAAAGTGTTGCCGAGAACTTTTATTCGGTTGACCCGACATTCCATTTTGATGACCTAAAAGTCGACATAAACCAAGAGAAAATACATAGAAAGAGCAGTTCCAATTTTGGCGACTTGAAAGTGCTTGATAAAAGCACGCAGCTCAAGACGATAACCTAGCTGCACCTGGTAACTGGGTGCCCTTTATCATTTCGGTTTACCATATCGCTTTTTGGCTGTAAGGTGTCGATCATTTGTAAATTCTCTAGCCATACCATAGTTTCCTTTTCTTCTCAACTTCAGCCTCTCTGCACCGTACACTCGGCGTGAACAGGGGTTCTTAGTTGAATTGTTCTTGACGCTTGGTTTCTTTTTTCCCTTATTAGTATTCCACCTACATTATATGGTGCTTCTCAGGCCTTTAACCTGCGAATGGCGGGCGCTTCCTTCAGCTGAGAAGGCAAAATGTCACGAAAACAAAGAGTGACTCCATGTTGCAATCGAAACTCTCATCTACGGAATACAATTCGAAAAGGGTGATCGACGCTCCTATTAACGATTTCGACATCCATTCATTTTCAATGTTATCATGACGCTGAATGCGAGCTCGTAACGAAATCGGGAGAGATTCTAGACAAAGTCGGTATGGATCTCTAGATATAACTTTACAGGAATTTATTAGCGACATTTCGAGGTTGTCGCTGTCGCGTAATGCTACCTCGTAAAGTATTAATGAAGACGAACTGTATACTCGCCTCCGCGGGTCATGATCCTTGCCAAGGTGTGAAGTGAATGGATCGGCAGCTACACTAGTCTGCCACCTTCTCCGCTCAAAAGTGCACGAGAACGGGGCAGGAGAATACCTGGCACTTGGCAAGGACCGTCCACGGACGTGAGTGAGCAGTTTGCTCTAAAGTGAAAGGCATTTTCAAATGGCATGCATTCGAGTTTTACCTGAACTAAACGGAAAAATTTGCAAAGTTTCGAAACCACATGAGTCTCTGTACTTGGTATGCATTTTTGTCATCTTACGTGAATCTTCAATTTACTAGTTTACTAATAGAAAAACAACGATTGCTAGCTGAACCTAACTGAAGTAGTTCAAAACATGGAAGAGCGGAAGTCTATCGAACTTCTACCACAATGTGACTTGTCGCACTTTTCCAGTAGATTTCATGTATGAGGGGGAAAAGAAAATAATGATCGCGATCATTTTAAGCTCTGACACCAAGTGGCGTGAGCGTAGTGCTGGTAGTCCCACATAAGAGGCTGGAAAAATTTCGTTGGAGGAAAGCGTTTTTGATTTTTGATCGAAGGTGCACAAGCACAGAATACAAGAAATCAGAAACTACAGAAGTGCAGAGCCCTGTTGGAAAGTGAATGACGCTCGCGATGAGGAGTGCCAAATGATGCGATGAGATCAACTACATCAACCATAGGGATGTGAGAAGGTGTTAGCGGTTGATGTTTGATACTGGCGCTTTTAATGACTGACATTTGCGACCCCCACTGAATCCTGAGCAGAAGAAAGTGTCGAATAACTT